ACACGACGAAAGTAGAAAATTTCTTCTAAAAAGTACAAGAACGAAAATCGAATCGTCGAACCACGTAGTCGTGCAGCTATTTCTTATCGAATAATTATCGAATTCGTTCACCGGAGTTCTTCAGTTCGGGCGTAAAGAAATCACGTAGCACTGGAAACGAAAGGCGTGTACAGAAAGTTGAGAAATAATGTGACGTATCTCGTGGCGTTATGGGTAATTAAAAGTGCTCGGAGTAAATTCAGGAAAGCGGCGGACCGTGAAAGATCGATCGTTCGCGAGAACGGATTCAACGGATTCTTCGTACAAGAGTTAAAGAATCACTCTCCTCCCGGGAAGTTTGAAGCGATCGTTGAAACTTGGAGGTCCATTCCCCGTTCCAGCAATCCTTGAAAACTTCGACACACGCACGTCGTGTCTAATAAAGGAGGACCAACGATGGACTTCGGAATCTTTTCGATCCGCCCCTGTATCGTTAGGAAAACAGTCTTTCAGCGATATATGAGAAGACCTTTTGTTAATTCATTCGATAAAAATATTCTTCGAACAATATATTGACTAGGAAACGGATGATCTATCGTCGTAGGATTCGAACGTTCGAGCTCACGAAAAATGGTAAAAAGTGAGCAAGTCGAGGAAGCAGAGCTTCGCGCGTTGAAAGAATGCATCCGGATTCGCTCGAGCCTGCACGTTTATACATTCCGCTCTGTTTGAAAATAAAATCGAGCTTTTTGGTAGTCTTGAGCCCCCCTATGATGGTATCATTCACTATGCTTTGCGTCTACAACTGACACGCTTTTGGGGGCGCGAGGTTCCGTAGGCTATGGTCAAATATAATTATATTAACTTTAAATACAGACATAAATCCTGGCTCTCTGGATCGGTGGGTGGGGGCAGGGGGGGAGGGGTTAAATGACAAGGTATGGGAAGGGAGGAAACGGTTTCTCGTCGTCTAGGTTGTACGGGTCAAAAGCAGAAAATTAGACCGAGAAGGATGGCGCAGGATCCGCGAGGAGGATATTGACGCGAGCGAGAGCGAAGGTTTCCGTTGTCTGGCGAGAGCCGTGCACTTTCCGCGCTGCGAAATTGCTCCGCTGAAGGCGTCGGTTGCTAGATCCCGACCGAAACTGCTCCCTGGGATCCCGTCTCGCATCTATTACGACTTACGTACACACAATCCGGGGCCGGCTTTCTCGTTTTTCCCGGGCGAAAAATACGGGCGTTCTGGTTCCGCGCGAGGCGACGGAAATGTCTACATTACCGCGCGCTTTCTCCGCAATTTCCTCCGCGGCCGCTGATACGCCCGTCGGTGCTCCCCAATACACGTAACCTCGAAATTTATCGAGCTCAGCGAGCTCCCGATGAGAACTCCCGACGTTTGCTCACGAAACGCCGACAGGGAATTATCCAGCGCCATGTTTTCGGGATCGAAATTTCCTGGCGGACCTGTCGACGGACGCTTTCCTATTCGAATAAATATTTGGCCAATTTACGGTTACGTCCCGGTTAACTGAAAGAATCTTACAACAGACAAAATTTATTCTCGAGGTTCATAAATTTCAGTATTTCGTAGCGTACAGTTGCTTAAAATCAAAGTGTCTCGCGTAGAATTGGACGGTTTCGGTCTGACAGGGAACGCATTAAAAGAAACAGTACGGAGAGGATCGGCAATTTCTTTCGTCGCAAATTTTCTGCAGAATCCATCCCCAGCCCGGAGGGAGTCCTCGCGTCCTGCGTCAGGACGAACGCAGGAGGCTTGATGGAATATCGTATTACATCTGCGACAGACACGGTCTCGATTCGAGATACGACACAGGTGCAGGGGTTTGAGGCGGATGCCCGCGGAAACGTAGGACGCCCGATTCGCTATTAAAGGGTAATACGTATTATCGATTTTGGAACGAGGCAGAGGTTATCCCGGTTCAAATCATGACAAATGTGCAGTGGTGTGCGGCTCGGTTGTCCGCGTGGCTGTGTGCGCGTCGCGGCGGCAAGACCGCACCCTGGAAAAATTTTTCTCAATCTTTTTTTTCCCCTCTATCGACGCTCCGCGTATTTCGCTTCGAAAACTGGTCCCTCGATTGGCATCCCTCGTGCACCGGTCGTTTCGCCGTGTCTGTGCTCGAATTTTGGTTCCCCGTTTACAATTTCTGGCAACACAGTCGCGAGGAAATGGTTCCGGAATTGTTTCGATCGCTTTTCGATCACCAGCGAACGAAAAAACTGCAGACGATTTATTCATTATTTATTCGTACGATATTTGTGGAATAAATATCCTATTTATTCTAACATCTTTCGACTCGTAAAGTTCTAGGGTTAATACCACCCCTATATTTCTACTTCGCTCGAAACTAACAAATCTGAATCTTATTATATTCAAAATACACAGAAACTAGACAGGGTGTTAGTAAAAAATTTGACGTGGAATTTAAGGTAAAACGGGGTATCGTGATTGGTTATCGCGAGGAACCAACCGCGCGGAGGTATCGCGAAATGGCCATAGACTCACGTGCCGCGCGTCGCCCGATTCGTGCATCGAGATTTACGCGACGAGAGTAGGAGACACGAGCCTCGGTGAGATAAAACACAGTCGCCAGGAACCGATCGCCGGTTCGTCGCTGGTGGACGTCGGTGAGGAGGACAAAGACACGTGGGTAAAAAGCGCGGTCAGTATTGACAAGCACGGTGAGAAATTGTCGGGTTAATTGCGAAAGAAACTGGACGGAACGAGGCATCCGGGCCCGCGGAGTTAAATATCCCGCGCTACCGGTTGCCAGCTCGAGGATCGTAGAAAAAGCAGCGAGTTTAAAGGACTCGTCGCGTTTTGCTTTGACCCGCGAACAGAATGCTGCCGAGTGATTCCCTTTTTTCGATTTCGAGCCGATTACCGCGTTCCTCCTTTCTTTGGCTACCGATTCACGCGATTTCGTCGAGCGTCCTCCACGTGGGAGGTGCCCGTGGACGAGTCTCGACACCGAAATAGGCGATGATTCTCCACGCACCGACGCGACCACAAATGGGAGTTTAGCGGCGATTTCAATTAAGGTAAAGGCCCCGCTTAAGGGGGCCGGACAGCATCTAATTCCAGCGAAATAAAGTCTTCTTCGGAGAATCGTGCTGTATGTAAAACTGTCCCCGTTCAATTACGAACGTGCGTGTACTCGCTAATGCGTTTTGACTTGTTAGGTCGTCGAATGCGTAATTAATAACTCTCTATTAATCATTCGAGATTTTCAATATGCCTACCGTATCCACTGTATACAAACACGATAGGTGAACGCACGCGGTTGATTTTATGACCTGATTTTTATTATACATTTTATATTCACTTTAGTAACGGTTGATTTTAAGAAGACGGATAAATTATTATCTCTCGCGAAGGTAATATTCAGTGATGTGTGTCATGTCTGGTCTCCGCGCCGAAATATATCGTAGCGCAGAAAAGAGCGTAGCATAAGTTTCCGAGGGTAGCGGTTCGCAGAGTAGGTCAACCCATGTCTATCCTTGACCATAATTATGCACTAGTACCGACAAGGTTTAATTTAGCATCGTTGCAAGACCGTAAAATTACGGCAGGCCTTACGTTTTTATTTAAAATCGGCGATGGCTATGTTATCCGATCACCCTTATTAAAATTAATTAAATTTCATATTTCACGCGGTGCGCGGATGGGGGAAGCAGTTTTAAATTCGCGCTCTTAAAATTTCAAGGGGGAATACCGCGGCGCGGTAGTGAACAAATGGAAAAATGTTGTTCTCGCGTTTCGAGAGTTTAATTATTTAAAACTATATTTCGAAAGTTTTGCTTTAAAATTTAACGAAGTTACCGTATATTTTCGAGAGCGTGTCAGATTGCTCGAGCATACCGACCGGCAGGTTTCAACGAGTTTTTCTCAAAACTATATTTCTCGAGACTGTCGATGTGATATCTCGGGAATCGCTGAACCGATTCATTTTTAATTTCGCGTGCATTTAAAGTAGCCTGTAGCTTGTGTCAGGCTGAAGTTTGTAGCGTTAAATTTTCTACGTTTCTAGTTGAAGGTATTCCTTTTTAAAGTGCTGTCATTTTAATAAATGATATATTCCTTATCTCCTGGTTCGGTAGATATGGCAAGAAAATGTACTTAAATAAATATGTCGATAGTCTAGCTAATGGGAATCCTCTTTTAATCACCGATGCCTTCATAGATATCACTTGTAATGGAAGCAAATTCAGCTGACCGCTCAAGGCTGTTAAGGGGTTACCTCGCTATAACGTTTAGCTACTCTACCGCTCTGTGTCCCATCTGTTCACCCAATCCTACATACGCGTGTTATCCGTGTCCAAATATTGAGGTGGATACCGTGAAAGAGGAGCTAGTTTCTAGCGACATTCGTGGACGAGTATATGCTCCGGAGCAATCCGGTAAATTTACGTCCCCTTTACTCGTTATTTTACTGTCTCTCTTAATAAAGTATACTTCCACGAAGATGCAACGAATGTGGGCGTCGGTGTAGTGGCAAAGTAGCTAGATAGTACAGAGAAGGTTACCCCTCGATAGCCTTCAGCAGTCAGTTGAATTTATGTCCGCTGCAACGTCAAATGTGAGCGCGTATGAGAGACAAATCTGCCAGGTGGATTTAACCACGAGCCTTCCAACGCTGAACCAAGTTTTCTACAGCCGTCCAATATTTAATAATGTATTCGTCAATATTAATTATTCGTACTTTCGTACAGTTTACCGGGTCATAGATTTTGTAGGAAGGTTTTTTTTTATTTATAACTTGGATATCTATACAACACAATCACCTCACTATCTAAACGCTTATCGTAACGAAAGATCCCCTTACGTTTCTGTCACGAGTAAAAGAGATAATCGCTACGTACTTAAATGAGTCACCGTTTAAGAATTCTTAAGAAAGCTAGTCACGCTCTTGGCCCACGAGTCTCCCTTCGTCGTCGAAATACCATCGCCTCGGATCGGTGATTAACGACTGATCGTCGCGTCTCGTTTCTCGTTTCAGCAGCAAAAATTCGTGAAGAGGACGGCCGAGGAGTTGGAGCCAGCCGGCGGCGGTAGCGGTGACGGAGGGTTTGGCGAGCCCCCGGTGAAGCTGCAATGCACGCAGGCGCAGCATCAGCACCAGCAGGGTCCCGGTGGCGGCGGTGGAGGCGGGCCTCATCACGGTCACGGTCAGCACGCGCCAGGAAACGGCGCGAACTCGACGGGCCCGACCCACGGCGGGGGCGGTGGCGGTGGCGGCGGCGGCGGGAACGAGGGCCTGACCAAGTTCTCGGTGGAGATCGTGCAGCAGTTGGAGTTCACCACGTCGGCCGCGAACTCCCAGGCCCAGCAGATATCGACGAACGTCACGGTGAAAGCGTTGACGAACGCTTCGGTGAAGAGCGACCTGCTGAACGCGTCGTCGTCGCCCAAGTCGGGCCCGGACACGCCGGCGTCAGCGACCTCCAGGCCTCAGACCGGGGGCGGCGGTGGTCCTGGCAGCGGGGGCGGTGGCGCTGGCGGTCCGCCGACCGGCGGTGGCATCGGTTGCGTGGACATCGGTAACCTGGTCGAGTGCAAGCAGGAGCCCGACAACGAATTCGTCGACCTGGAGCAATGCGCCGCGGCCCTGGAGAAAGACGCGGCGGCGAACGGCGCCGGTTTCCCTGGTTTCTCCGACTTTATGGGCGACGACACCGGCGACGAGATCATCACCTCGGACGCGTTCAAGGACCTGATCTCGGAGATCTCCGACTTCCATCCGGAGTTCATGAAGGACTTCGACTTCGAGGAGAAGATACCCGTGGAGGCGTTGGCGAACAACGCGGTGGTCGCCGCGGCTGCCGCCGCTGCGGCGAACAACAACAATAACAATAGCATCGGGACGAACAACGGGCAGATCAAGATCGAGGACGACAAAGACGCGATACACCAGCAGCACGGGAACGCCAACAGCAACAGCTTGAACAACGGCACGGGGACGAACAACGGAAACGTGCCCGCCAACTCGAGTCCCGGAGGTCTCGGATCGGCCCAGTACTCCCCAGCCAGGCTGTCTTACTCCAGTCTCGACTTCAAGTCCGAGATGAGTCCCGCCGCCCAGACGCTCAAGCAGATGGCCGAGCAGCACCAGCACAAGAGCCAGCAGCTCGGTCTCGGTGGATTCAATCCTAGCGCCGCCGCAGCGGCCAGAGGACCCACCGCTCGGTCTCCTTACGCGGAGTTCCCTCAATTTGGCGGCACCTCGGACTACCTGGGTAGCCCCGGTAGCAACGGTCCGCCGGGCGGACAGCCCCAAGCGACGCCTGGCACCGGGTCTTATCACAAAAACAACGGAGCGTCCGGATTCCAGAGCCAGCAGACCAACGACATGTTCGTCAGCTCCCAGACGCAATTCGCCGCAGGGCTGGCTGACATGAAGAGACCGCAGCCAGCCGCTGGCGGTAAACCGAGCATGCTAGGCCCGAGCGGAGGATACAAGCAACAGTACTCGCCGTACGGAGGTAGTCCAGGATCGATGCCGAATCACGGCAGCCCCGGTTATCCGCTTCCACCTAGAGGCTCCCAGGGAGCTGGACCCAATCAAACCGGCTCCCAGGGACCTTTCACTAGCTCCACGCCGCCGAGGCCTCCCTCGGGACCCGGCACCTCATCCCTGCAAATCAACCAGGCGCAGCAGCTACACATCAACAATCCCGGACATCAGATTCAGGTTAGTGAAACTCTCGTTATTGCGTTCCGTGGTTTCGATTGTCCTCGCGTATTTATAGATCTTGCAAATCAGACCTCAAAATGTTGGTAGCTCCCTTTGGAAACTCTGTCGAGAAAAGTCGAGAATCCTCCCTTAAGAACCGTTGATGTAAAACATGTGTTTTTCTCACGACGCGACTAATGGAGGGCTAATTACTTTCCGCGTTAAAAGAATCGTTACCGTGGTCCTCTACTAATCGCTGTCCACGATTTCAACCCCGAGAAGCTACGGTAAAGACTCGGAGGATCGTCTCGTTCACGAGACGGTGAAAGATGAGGGAACGGGACGCAGGAGTCAGGACCAAGTTGGAATTCCTCGGCGCGCGAGTCAGGCGAGGCCGAATGATATCTGTTGCGTCGCGACGACACGTCTATTTTTGTCGGGCGGGATTACGAGTCGAAGTCGGTGGCGGCGACGACGCCGCCGCTGGCGTCGGTGGTGGTGGTGGTAGCGACGTCGGCTGGTGGCGTCGCCGGCGAAGGGGCGCGCTAGCCAGCGGCGCTAACGGCAGCAGCGGCGAGAACTCGATGGTAGAAAACATAGGGGGGAGATACCTGGCGTCACGAGGGCGCCCCGACGCGCAACAAGTAGTCTGCCCCCTCCAACCGCCTCTTTATAAATTTTCCCTCTCGTCGTGCGCCCTCCCACCCCCTCGATGAAACGGCACGGTGGGGAGGAGAACGATCGACGGAGGAGAAAAGAGGGCTGCATGGCCGCGCGCAGCCGGCGTCGCGACGCCGTCACCGTCTGCTCGATTTAACCTGCGCCTGCAATCCGCGTCAATACGCTACGAGTCGGTAGTCGCGAGGCTGCACTCGCGACAACCTGCACGGGGTCCGACTTTGTCCTCGCGATTTATTTCCGAGCGTCGTCGTTTTATTTATAACAAAACGGCCCGGAAATGGTAACGCGACGGTACGAATGGCGTAATAACTGACGCCGAATCGCGAGGGGAACGCTTTTTCGACCACTCTGGATCGCGCTACGTCAAACGGAAAGAATCGTAGGAATTTTTTGGACCGCGATCCCTTATCTATCGTTTTGTTGCACTGGCGAGAATATAAATGCAGAAATATTTATTGGGAAATTTTTCGACTTTTCAGAGCTAATTTATAAATTAATTCGGATTGTATTAGTCCGTTGATTCTTTAACCTTTGCAGAGGGAAAACTGGCTCTTTTTGGATCCGACTTTTAGTCAATGTTTATGTTTAAATTGGAGAGGCATTAGAATTTCTTGTGTGTAAAATAAGTCAAATTAAAACAGTATTTTGGTCCATAGATAATGATAGGTATTCTTTGCAAAAATCGTACAGAGACATCGCAGATTAAAACATTATTAAAGCGGCATGTATCGGAAAGTATCGTAACGTGGTTTTTCGTATTTGTTAATTTGTTATCGTTATGGATTTACAGCGGCGAGAATATAAATAGGAAAATATTTATTTTCAAATTTTACTGTAATTTGCTTTATCTTGTTTTTATTTGTTTGCGCAAATCCCACTTCGTCCCATTTCGAACGAGATACGGTGAAAATTCTTATCTAGGTAAAAATTTCGAATTTCGTATGAGAGATACACAATTATTTATCCGATACTCGTTAAAAAACAATTAAAGTTCAATTATAGAATGAAATATTTCACAATGGACAGATATAGATTTAACTGCTCGATTTATTTGATTGTCGACGCGAATAAATTGTTATACGTTGGTTTTATTGGTCATCTGTTATTGGGATAAAATTTTTTCCACGTCTGTATCAAACTCCGCTCTGTGGGCTCTAACTGACTCTAATTGAATGGGGAAAATGAGATTCTATCGTATTTAAAAAAAAACAATGAAAATACAAATAACAATAATTAACTATAATTGATTTACACGTTTGATGATATTTTTTCTGACTTTTTGTAATAAATATTCGATAGTAGTACAATTTTCTACGAAGCATAGAGAACCACAGAGAGAACCTAAATAGCAATTGACACGTAAAAAATTACGATTAATTGGATCAAGAGCCTGGTACTTAGCTACATTTGTAAGCGAGACAGTGAAAAATCGGATTTCTCCCGAGACGTTTAAACGGTAGTGAAAGTTACTAAGACTTAATAAACCTATCTATTAATGAACTTGATCAGAAAAATATAAATTAACTACTATTCGCATTTAACGTTCTGCTGCGCTCATAAACAGTTTAAGTAGCATATGCTATCTAACTTATACGAGGCAAGTCTCAGGTATTTATCCCGTACTCTTTGTATCGCCATGTTATACACTTTGTATGTTTAACTTCCAATCCCAATACGATGGGGGATAAGGAAAAGCTACGGACGTCAAAAGGAAACTACCGATTGAGGAAACCGAGACTAGTCCCTCCAAACGACTACTCGATTGTATAAAATCCCTCGTCTATTGTGACCGATTCGAAGAGATCTTATCTACTCGTCCCTCGAACGCCTTCGAGAACCTAAACGTACTCTCTGTCCTGATCGCGTATGGACACTTCTGTCCCTCGTAAATCACGTCTGCTACCGCGCATATTTGCATCTCAATGCGTCCAGGCGAATGACGCCCCCTCCCCCCTTTTTTGTTCTCCACCATCGTGTTTTCAGTCTTCCGTGTCCAATTTTGTCGACTTCGATTTTTCTTCCTATTACTCGTAAAATGTATTTCTCCGTTAAATTATTAAGGACTATCCCATGAAAATTAAGTAGCTCGTATTTTTCGTCGGGGGCATAAGGAGCAACTAAACAGAGGAAATCACAAACGCACAGATCTTTAACTTTTGCTATGAAGTTAATTGTTTCTCCAGCGATACTTCCGTGAAACGAAACGCGTTGAAAATGTAACGCAACGTCACGTAAAAGAATGTTATCTCGCGACAAATTTACATATCATTCAGGGCGAGACCGAAAACCGCCGACTTTCCCACGTTGTTTTCCTTTGGTTAATCGGCACGGTTATCGCGACGGAAGTCAAAAAGGTGTCGAAACGAGCTACGTTTCTACCCCCCCACCCTCCTTCCTTTTCTCCGTTATCGGGCGTTTGTATGCCCCTCGCGGAAAGCTGCTGGAATTATAACGATTATGCATTGTTATCGGATTCAGACGCTAACGCGCGGAATGTAAATGACTTGAACATTTGGGTCACCGGGGTTGCTCGGCGTTGGCGTTCACGCGTGTCTCTTCGTGGAAATGGATTAAGTCTAGAAGAATTAACAGGATCGTTTCGAGCGAAAATTACTCGTTTATGCTTTGTGTTTTATAGAAAAGTGATATTGCAACAGGAAATGTTAAACAAAATGTAACGATTATGGAGCGGACAGCAGAAAATTAATACCGCGTCTACAGAGGTTGCAACGTTGTTGCAGAGCTTTCACGGAATTAATTTAAAAGGTATTCAATTATCTCGCTCTCAACGATCCTTTAAATCTATCCACCGTATATTTTGTTATTATCGACGAATGTTTCGATAAAAAAAAGACTCTATCGCGATATTTGAACGTTCGAATGGTTGAGCGATAGAATGATCGAACATTGGGATAGCTGAGGTTAGTATAATAGAGGTTCTGCTGTAATCGAAATGGTTCCTCAGCCTTGAACACGACGAAGGTTACACAAAGTTCCGATCGACGTTTGGTGCCGGCTACGATATGCCGAGTCTTTTGGAGCGATTCCAACCACAATGGATCAGAATATCCGGATACGAGTGTTTTCCTCGTCGGGGTTGTTAATAAACGGACACTCACGTATTGCCGGAAATTGACCGTGCGCGCAAGTCCCTCCCGTTCGGGTTCAAAGGTTACGTAAACCTTCGATCGTACGCGTTTCGGGTACGCGCTAACGCGCCGCATATGTAATTCGTAGCGCGCCACAATGGGACAGATTTCCCGGAACATGGTAAATATTCGATCAATTAATTTATCGATACTTCGAACACGAACATAATTAATGACTAAGAAAAGCAACGCGTTACACGTCGATAAATAATATACAACGAGCGCCGATAACTCAGGTTGAACGACCCAATAATCGACACGTTTTGCGCGAATTCCTCTTCATTTATTAAATTTTAACAAACTTTGACCCTTGCCAAACCAAATCATACAGTTCATGTATGCCAAACTGATTTTGGCCAGTGGCTGTTCACAATTATTTTGGAACAGTAAAGAATACTTTGGAGGCCATTTTTGTTGTGCTTTTTGGAAGTATACGGAACAATGTGACATCAGTGTATTTTATCGAACAGTTGGAAAGAGGATCGCGAGTGACAAAAATTTAGGGAGTGTCGCTACGAATAACTCTACGAGGACGTGCAAAAAATGTCCGGATTCAGTGAAATTTAACACAAGCTGTGCGTCGACGCGGAAGAAAAGTAAATTACAGTTCTGCCATAAGTAGATCCGCGAAATTTTATTCGTGTCGCTAGGTACACGGAGGATTACTGGACCGTGGGAGGTTCTCATCCCTCTTTGTTACGCCCTCGAGGGAATTCCCGCGGTCGAAAGATCGACGTTAACGGAGAATCGAAAGGGAAGGGACAGATTGTATCTTGCAGGGCGGGAATCGGTATCGGTCGCATGTGCTACGGATGGAAATAAATCGCCGCCGGTTGGCGACCCTGTCTCACCTATGCAAATCGGCCATCGGCTTAATTGACGAAATATTCAAATCGTCAGAAGCTCCGTGGCGCATTCGAATGATAATGGCTCTGCATGCGCGCGCGCTGACTTCCTCCTTTTTTTTTTTCAAAGGTGGCCACCTCTTTCCTTTTATTTCACTCTTATTTTTCTCTCTGCGGACGTCGTTGTTGTTCGTCGCTGCTAGATCCGGCGCGATATGCGCGGTAGGCCTTAACGTTTGGTCGTTTGTAAGGTACGCGTTCATCGTTGAAGGGTTATCGATCGACCCGCGTCGATCTACATATCCGAGCAACAAGGACGCGTTTCCTTTTTAACCGACCTTCA